TTATAGGAGGCAAGCAATAACTTCTCAAACGGACTTTGGCGTCATAAGATTTAGCCATCTGAGCTTTAACATAAATCGAGATATTATTCCTTGAATGTTACTTATGGAAAATGAAAGAAAAAGAAGAGCAGCAAGATATGATATGTTAAGGATTATATATAAATTGGAAATGATTAATCATTAATATGATTTAGCCTTTTAAACCATCCGAATAATAAGCCCAACAAGAACGATGACTAGAAATTACCGGTGCAAACCACCTCCAATAAGTGGGATCAAAGCCCAAATTAAAAAGTATTAGCTTGAATTGAATGAGATTTAATTATTTAAATAAATAATTACGAATTCTTGTGTATATATATATTTGAGTAGTCATTCTGACTTTGTATGTGTTTGATGGAAAAGAGAGTGATTAGTCAAGACTTTTGGAACTGGATACCTTGAATTTTTTTTTTTCAAAAAAAAATAAAATAGAGAGCACAAGTTAAAGATCCAGCCCCTGAAATTAGCAGCAAAGTTGAAATCAATGTTTTTCCTTCAGAAATCCTATCAGTGTCCCCAATGAATCATGCAGCCATCGTTTTTACCAGCAGCAGGAAATGCAATATTTTCAAATATGCAAAGCGACACCTCTCTAGTAGTCTCTATCCTCAACACTGGCACAAGCGACTTTGCAATGACTTTGCTATTGCCCTCGATTAAACGCCGAGTCTTTTTGTCCTCTCTTTAACAGCCACGACTCGACCCAGGAAACTTCCCTCACCGCGTAACCATATGTGTTTTGACAAAAACAAAAAAACAGGTGACTACCTAATTTCCATCATCTAGAATCACGAGGCACGTCGAAATACTGTTAGTTCTCCCATTCCACGATTTGCACAGTCCCAGCACCTAGACATTGACTTCTTGGATTTTTCTATCTTGCCTTTATAATTAGCGAGTTCGAATTTAATCAGCTGGGTTAAGAAAATGAGAAAAGTGATTATGAATGTTGAACTAGTCAAATTAAGGGGCTAAGCTCGTGTTAGGTTCTTGAATTTTTTTTCCCTCAGTTTACGAAAATTCTACGATGCTTGCATTATGATCCATGTCTTTCAATGTGTTTGCTCGTATGAGAGGGACATGAGTTCTAAATAATTTTGAAGGATATCCAGATACTTTATGTTATTAGGTGTTCTATCACAGTACTCAATCATAATCTCCAAAATTACACTATTTCATCACGAAAATTAAAAGATACGAAGTTTTAAATTTAGAAAGTATAAAATTGAGTGTTAGTTTGAAATGATTGCTTAGAAATGGTTTTTGAGATTTGATTTAAGTTCAGGAGATTTCAAGGAGTATGCGAACGTGTTTTTTAGGGAAAAAGAAAAATAGAAAATATGAATTTTCAGGGCTGTATTTAGCTGGAATTCGGCGCTTTCCCATATTCTGGTTGATTTTTCAAACTTGGCGAGCAATTGACAAAATGTAATTTGGTACCTGAACTTCCCGGTCTTCTATTTTTCCATGTTGTTAATTGTAATTCTCCAACTTTTTTATTGTTTCATATTATTCCTTAATCTAATTTTTTTGTATGTTCCCAAAGTAAACTTTATTACTATATGTGCTCTTTTTTTTATTATTTATTTATAATATGAGTTGATTTAAAGTGATATTTTTAAAATTTGGGTTGTTGTTTAAGATTAATAAGGACTATTTTGATCATCTTATGGATATAGGGATTGTTTCAGCTTTATTGTGATTCAGATATGATTTTTATTTGACTATTGGTTGATTTTCTGATGTCTTATATATTTTATTTTGAAGTTATATCTCTGTTTTTATAATTTTTTAATATCATTTTCAACTTACTTTAGATTTGTTTCTATCTATAATAAATTAGTTTGTTTAATGATTTTAAATTTCAACTTTAGTTGTTTTATGTAAGTTAGTTCATTTTTTTGTATATTTAATTTTTTTTTTACTCTAGTTTAATTTTATGTTCGTTTTTTAAAATTTAATAGTGACTTTTATTATAATTTTTTATAAAATCATATTTTCTTCTTATTACAAATTATACACAACTTTTTTAATTGTCATGTTAAGTTTTCGAACCTATCTTAAAATCTATGACATTGTTATTGGTTTTTTTTTTTTTTATAGTCTATTAATAATATCCATCTTAGATTATTTATATTTTAATATAAGCTATATTCTTGATTATTTTAATTAAGAAAACTTTAATATTAACTTATTTGAAATGATATAATGAGATATATGGTATTTTTTTTTATGTATTTACAAGATACATATAAAAAAATAAACAAAATCATGAGTTTTCGTTTCATGTATTCAAACATGATTTTTTATGTCACATATCTCAAACAAAATAGTGATCTTTCATGTCTGTGATTTTTTATAATATTTTATGTTATGTATTCTCATTTCACGTTCTTAATCGAGATGTGAGTTTTTACTTTACTTTATTTTGACATGTAGAAGCAAGGGCTTTCGGGTCCATTTGATAATTTGATTGGGTTTAATTCTATTCTTAATTACTTTTCTTCAAGTTTAATATTTGCATATGTCATTTCTAAATCACATAAAACTGAAACAGTCCCTATATACATAAGATCATCAAAACAGCCCTTGATTAATCTTAAACCACCACCCAAACTTTGCAAATATCACTTCAAACCAGCCCATACCGCAAAAACCTAGCAGAAACATGGCACATACATGGATACAGTATACTTTGGAAACATAAATATCATGGATTAATGGATAATATAACGCAATTAAAAGTTGAGGATCATACTTAATAGTATTGAAAAAAAGAGGACCAGAAAGTCCCCGAATTAAAATGCCTGTTGTCAATTTCTCAGCGGATTCTAGAAAATCAGCTAAAATCTGAAAAAAAAAAGCCAAGTTCTGGACCCAAAAACACATCAAACCCTCTATAGAACCTTCTAAAAAACCATTTATAAACCATTATCTTAGGCTAACATTCAATTATATATATAATTTTTTAGATCTAATAAAACTTTATGTCTCTTAATTTTTGTGACAAAATAGTCTAATTTATATATTTATAAATTTTTAATGATAAATTCTTTCGTTTAACCGTGTTTTTTTATTGGCATTAATTAAGGCCGAAATCCGCTGGTCATTATCAGATTCTGCCACCATGCATATTTCTCTCTTCTTCTTCCTTTTTGTTTTTTCCAAGTAAGGGTAGTATGATAATTGACTCTAGAGAACATTCCTGTATGTTATAGAGCACATGATAACAAAAATAAAATAAAAATCTGAGTCGTTCAAATTCATCTCTAACGCGTGTCACAATCAGAGTGACAAAAGTATTGAAATGCATGAATGTTCCTAACACGACGAAGGCACTCTAGTTGGACCCCTCAATTTGGGTTTTGAGCGATTTGAGTAACAAATTGGTAATACCATGCATTAAAAAAATAATAAAAATAATAATTGCTAGCTATTTTAAATTGTCTTATGTATAGGCAAGGAAATCTAAGTTACAAATTGTCATTAGGAAAAACTTACACGCTACCTAACTCAATTAAAGTCAAAGTTTTTACACCTTAATTAGATCAAAGCGTACGGAGACCAATTCTTTGTATCAATCTAATACGAACTAGCTTCAAATTATAAAATTCTCTTCAAAGTTGACAAATTTTTTTTTCACAACTTATGCCCAATAGAATTAATGGAATGAATTCAAAAGCATCAAACCTCTCTCGTTCAAACAATCGAAACACATGGAATTAAACGGTACCCGCCGTACTTAATAATAGAGGGATTTATTAGCCATGTCCAAAAAAGTTTATATATATATATATATATATATATATATATATATATTTGAGTTTAAAACTTACATTTAGTCAAATTTATTTTTTTGAATATACTAATTCATTGTAATGGTTGTGTTTTTAAAATTATTTAAAAATAATTTAATTTTAATTACTACGTAAGCTTATTTAAAAATATTCTTAATCGATTCTATTAAAAGAAGAAGCAATACTCAATCTTTAATTAATAATTTTTTGTTTTTGAATTCTCATGCCAGAGTATTTTAGATTTTAAAAATCAAGTTAATTCTTTACTTTTCAGTCATGTACAAAGCGAATGTAACTATATAAAAAAAAAAAATTAATATACTTAAAAGATTTAAATCTAAAATCAATTGTTTAAATTTTTAGAGTCATTTTCTATCGAATGTAACTATATAAAAAAAAAAATTAATATACTTAAAAGATTTAAATCTAAAATCAATTGTTTAAATTTTTAGAGTCATTTTCTATCGGATCAACTCTTTTGGATTTTAATCAATAATTTTTTTCCCACCGCCTTGACAGCAACTTTCCAACAAGAGTTAATAAGAGATCAACATTAATGCAGCATTGGATTTAATTCTACTTACTCCTTAGTACTTTTTTTTTTGTCGCTGGTCATGAATATAATCCCCAAAGGTCAAGAATCAAGATCTTGATTTTCAAAATAACAAGTAGCCTCAGCAGGTCAATGCAATATGGCTGCTAAATATATTGTTGAATGAGAGATTAATGGTTCACATGGGAGCCACCTAATATGCCTATAAATTATTACCGGCGGCCATCATTTTCTTAGGTTACCAAACATCAAAAGTCCTCAATATTAGATTGAATAAACAAATTTAGTAAAATAAGACTTGGGTATTGAACTTACCTTGTGTCTTCCCAAATAATTTCTCATTAATTAAATTGAACAAAATACAGCACTTCTAAAACCTCAAAAAAAAAAAAAAATATTCATGACACAGTCGTCATATAGTAACATTTCTGCAGCTATGCGTCTTCACCTCATCGATCTAATGATGGGAGCCAAAAGAAAATTCATATGAAAGTTTATATTATCATATGTATTATGTACTGTTTAATAAAAGAAAGGAAGGAAAGAAAGAAAGAAAGAAATCAATACTTTCACCCAAGAATATAAATGAACGGGATATATATAATATATCATTGTCTCTCTAGATCTTGAAAACCTTCTTGATCTTGAACCTCATGTTGAATTCTCCTGGATGATCTTTCTCGACTAAGCATCCTTCGAAACGAGCTCAGCCGGGAACTTGAACCAACGGCTTTAGGAGTCAGTTGGTTTCCACCATCTGATGTTGATGTACCCTCATTACATACCGACGTAGAATTCACATGCTCCAGAATTAAAGCTGTGGGTGCAGTGCCTCCGGCTGGACCCTCACGGGCCTCCGGCTGAATCATTGGCTCAGCCTCCGTCCGACAAATAGGACACGTAGAATGGGAGCTTAACCATTTGTCTATGCACTCGGCATGAAATGTGTGCTTGCAATTAGGTAAACTCCTAACCATTTCTTGATCCTCAAGCATGCTTAAACAAACAGCACACTCTATTGCATCATCTTCATCTTGGCCTTCCGTTTGCTGGTAAACATATATGGGCAGTGAGGCTATGACTGTTGGATCAAGCCCCCTCTTGGGCGGCTCGCCGGAATGGACATTGCCGCTAGTTATCCCGAGGCTATTCATAACAGCGCGGCGACGAGCTTGATGACGCCTTAGGGCACATCTTGCATAAATGTGAAGAACCACAACTAGTACAACAACAAAGGACAATGATAGAATTGCAGTGAGCATAATCCTGCTGTTTAAATCATAATTAGGCTTATGATTTACAAAAACAGAGCGGCCATCGCCATTGGTGTAGGGCCGGGCGTAAGGAAATACAGGAGGAGCATGATTATCTCCCATGGCTAGCTCCTTGTGGCTTTGGGGGAATGGAGAAGGAGGCTTGTGTGTGTGTGTGCTTTTGTATGAGGAGAGAAATATGGTAGGGTGAATATTTAATTTTCATTGATTTTCTTTGTGTCTATATGACTTGTTGAATATTGCGTGGGCAATTGGGTTTCTTTGGAAATTTCCAAAACATACAGAAGACACTCAAAGACAATTTCAAGGGAATTGACTCTTGGTGATGGTTGAATGTTGACTTTCAAGTTTTCTTCGTTGTTGATTTTTTTTTTTTACTATTAATTAAATTGATTTTTCTGAAAATTGTGTGAAGATGGTGATATTTTGAAAGAAAAAAAATGGTAACACACGGAGGAAAAAAGAGAGTATAATCTCTCGTAGGAATAATTAAAAAAAAAAAAAGGTTTGAAGTGGTTAATTTAAGAGATAAATTAAAAACACTCCAAAGAAATATTTATGAACAAATAAATTCTTTTGTGTATATATGTGGAGATATATATATATATATTGTTGTAGATTAATAGTATGATTTGGTAAGTTGGGATGGAATCTGTTTAAATTCTTAAAAGACTTGAAGCCTTCAATTATTTCATAATTTATTTATTTATAAAGGAGGTGTCTTACTTTAGGTGCTCATTGGTGATATTAGATATCATTAACAAAAAGTAGAAAAAAGAGTGAAGGAGACGGGACATGGAGAAATCGATCTCAGAGGGAAATAGGAATAAAATAAGCAATAGAATTACTGGCCGACATGATCAGACGATGGCTTGTGCACATGAATTTAATTTTGCCACACTGATCTAAAAGCGTCTTATGAAATTAAACTTAATTAATTGGATATATATCTATATACACACACTATTTAAAGTCGTCAATGGGTATAAGCTACTTAAAGTCAATGGGATTTCTGTAAAAATTATATTTTAATCCCTAAACTGCTAAAACTACATATGGTGAAAGTCCATGAGGTAAATTGAAAATTTCCTTACAAATAAATAAAGTTAATTACACATAAAAATCTTACTAATTAATGTAGACAATGATGAATGATGTTATATAAATGATGTAAAAAAAAATCATTAAATTAAATGTTATTAATATTAGAAAGATTTTTTTTAAAATTATTTTACAGTCGTAGTAATTGAATATTATTGTCGCGGAAAAATAATAGTTCAGTTGAACTACTTTTTTACAATAAAAAAATTTACTTAATAGTATTGTGAAGGTTAATCCTAGAAGTTCAAATATAGAATTCCAATTTCTACTAGATTTTAAAGAAACATGCATTTTATCATGATTTTTTTTTTTAGTTTCGTGTTGTTCGTTCGAACACACAAAATATATGTAATTATTTAAAAATTTTTTTACATATATAAATATTCGAGTTCGAAACAATACCTACTTAAGTAATTATAATTTTTTCTGTTTAAACGGATATTCTTGGATAATTGCTCTCTTTATTTCATCTTATGTATTAATTTATTTTTTTCTTCCTTGTTTATTATTATTTTTGGTATTATTATTATATAATTAATTGAATTGGATCACTAATAGCGTCAATATTGGGATTCAACCACAAGACTTTTTATTAATCTTAAAAGGTGGGCCATCACAATTATATTCATTGAGGTCTCTGAGTCAACAAAGAAGACTTCATCCCTTCAATCATCCACATAACACTTCTAATTCCTTGTAGAATAATCGCCCGGTTGAAAATGAGAATTGCTGAACTTCTAGCTTCCTCCGAAAAAATATGAAACCCTTCTACGGTCCAAATGGAGACACTTGTTTGATTAATGAAGATTATGGACTCATGGGGCATGGTCAATTACAGTAGCCCTCAATTATTAATAACTAATACCGGCCATAAATTATGTTTCAAAATTGGCTAACACAATTTAGTTGAGCTATGTTGTCTACGAATTAATTAATTAATTAATTAATTAATTATTCTGTTATGGAGAAGCTTTTTTTGACGTTTGAGGTTAATTTGATTTGGAAAATATGGCAAAATGACCATGATGTGTGTTTTGGGGTCATGTGTTTTTTTCTGCCGTAGAAGACAAACTACTGGCAGCGTGTTTTGAGTTTATTTAGTCTTTGGACTAGCGTAGTCATGGGTTCTTAAATGCTAATCTTTTCTGTGTCAATTAATAACAACATGATCCATGGTTCACGTTTTGAACACTGACACTTTTCATAAAATATGGTAACAGTGGGTTTGCTTTTTTTGGGAATTAATCAAATTGATCAAATTTCAAGATATATTTATTATGATTAGCAATAAGGCTTAGGTAATCGTCCTTAAGCTCATTTATGAATTAAATCTGAAACTTAAAGGCTTGGAGTATTATGATAAATTCTTGAATTTTTCATTCTTTTTTGTTACAATAAAGTCTTGAATTTTTAATTTCTTGGCAATGTCCAATTCAATTGTCACTCATTTTCACCGAAGCAACTGGTTGTTGATTCTTTGTTCTGGTTATGGGCTGGGTTTCAGCTCCATAAAACCTCTCTCGGCCTAGTTTCTTGTTCTTTTCGTTAGAGGCCTGGCTCATTTATTACAAGGCCTCAATTGGAAATAATTGGTTGAGACTGAAAATTTTGATCCAATTCAAACAGCCTGCTTCTCCATTTTCCAACAATTCATTCCCCCTCCAAAGCCCACGAAGCCCATAACCTACTTCAAGCCTTTTTCATTTTCTAGGGTCGCATCCAATTTTTTTTTTGACAATTAATGTCTTTCGCATTCAAATTTTTAAAAAAGTAGGTAAATTCAAAGCACAAAGTTGATTTACCATTATAGTTGTGTTTTAATGGTAAGAGAGTTATTTTGCTTTTAGGCAAAATCAAGATTTAATTTTAAATATTTATATATAACTAGTCATAATTATATTCTAATAGTATGAGATTTGAATTAATTTAATTTAAAAAATAATCCCATAACTGATTAAAAATTAAATATATTTTGGCATGATTTAGTTAAAAGAGTTATAGACTTAACCTCAATTAACATAAAAATTAATAAAAAAAACACTCTAAAAACACAAAGTTAATGACTTTGGGTCGGACAGGATGTTATAAGAAAAGAAAAGGTTGTACGGATTGACACTAAATTCGATCCAATACAAAGTCAGTGTCAAGCAAGCGAATGCCATACCAAAAAAGAACACAAAATTGAGTAGCTCTTCAACCTGTGCTAGCTATGTTGCTACATAAATATGGAGTATTACAGCTGAAGTACTGGATACCAAAGCTTTTAGTAGGAAGAGAGAGTTTTGAAAGGGAGATTAATAGTCGAGAAGATCAGTTGTGCAGGCTTGACAATGGCCAATTTGTGATCATCTCAAACAAATGTGAAAGAACATGGACCCAGTATTCATACCTTCATTAATTAATTTACAAGCTAAAATAGTGCATACTTACATGTCCTCATATCACAATGCCTGAAGTGGTAACTTCCAACTATTTAGAGGTGTAAATTATGGCGCTTAGCATTGAAAAGAGTGTTAAGAAACGAATCAAGCATAGAAATCAAATAAAAAAACATGAACTATCACACAATATTTACGTGTTTTGATCATTTTATCTACTCTAAAGCTTCACTATGAGTTGTTATAGGTTTTTAATCTACTATAAATACAAGAAATAATCTATATTTATAGTTTGAATAATTAGAATTATTAAAAAAAGTCTTTACATCTATACAACTAATCTAATATTTTCCTTGATCCTCACTCGCTAACCAACTAACAAAACCACTGTAACGCACCAAATTACCGATCATATTTATTACAGATCACATTTAGATGAGTCTACAAAACTTAACAAAGAGCAGAGTAGAGCTAGCTACGTATCTGGGGACTGGCGTACCGTTATGGCCAAGCTATCTTAATGTTATGTTTGCTTTTACCTACATGAAGCTTGCTAAATACAGGTAAAACAGCAGCCCTACCTACTATATATACATCAGAATCTAATCATTCTAGTTCATTTCTGTGCCTTTTCAGTTGTTCTTTTCCTTGCATACAAAATCCTTTGATGCCATGCCTGCATAGCACCACATCATGGGCTGACTTAAAATTCCATATGCAGACATGTCATTATTCTTCTTTACCTAAAGCCATATCTTTCTTGATTTGATTCTTCTTTATATTTAACATGTTTTTTAAGCATCTCCAAATTAGTAGGAATTCATCATTTTCCTTCGTTTATTCTGCTTTCGATCCTCACTAAATTAAACCAACGAAAAAAATCCTGATAGTGTAGCTTATGCAAAACTGCAAACCAAACCACCAAAATAAGTTCTCCAATTTTGCCCAAGATTTCCCTACTGCTTATCCATAAAGTTTCATTTGATGCTGGCTAATCAATAGTAAATATACTGGAAATAAATAGATGGCTAAAGATTTGGGACAGTGAATTTGGATATGAAATTTCTAGAGGCAAAAATAGACAGAGATTGACGAGAAATGAGAGTAAATGTATTGGAACAGTGGTCTGAAAACTCCTTACATAATAATGGTCACACATCCAAATGCACTATTTGAAAAGCTTGCATGAGACTTAGTGATTAATGGAAGAAAAATATGGCCAAAGACCAAAGAATTTGGGAGAACAAGTCCAAGCTCAAGTCCCGTTCAACAAGACATCCAGACACCATGATATGACATGACAAACTGATTACAAACAGCTTACCTAACCTCATATAATACGAGGCAACAAAATAGGAAAAAACAGCTTTAACTTAAGACGATCAATTTCCCCCTCCTTTGAGTGAAGATAAAATATAGGAAGTTCTAGTCACGAACTGTGGCATTCCATGCATTGTGCATAGGAGCGGAAAACGCAAAAGCAATCCATTCCTTCCCTAAAAGGGAAAAGGGGAAGGACAAATGAAAATCACAGTGATCAAGTATGTGCTTCATGGCTTAGTGTTGTGTTTTTCTGAGCAAGAAGATAATTCTAATGTGGTTTTCAGCAATAACGAAAAACAGAAACAATGATACATAACTCCAGAATATTCAAGTCTAGCTAGCAGCAAATTAAGATTAGGTAACAGTCAAACATGGTATTAGAGTTGAGCCAAAAGAGCCCACTTAATAAACAAATAAGCTGAATATAAAATGCATGGAGAATCTATCAAACATAGTTGGGGAAAAATAATGTTGAATCCAACCAGATGTTTTCTTCTTATAGGCCAAAATTATTCAACTGAAATCACTGGAATCTCGGCTCCTTTCTTTTTCGGTTTGACCATCATTCACCTTGGTTGATTCCATAGTATCCTAAAATTAAAGAAGAGTTAAGTAATTAGAAGAGTTGTTGAAGAAAATTTCCAAAATTTCAATTGAAAGAAACTGATTTTCTTCTGTCATTAAAGTTCAAGTACCTTCCACATGAGCAAGATGTTCAGCTCTATAGTCAATTCCGAGAATTTGGAGAAGAAGTTGGCCTGTCTGATACAACATTTTGCTCATTCCCACCATGAATTCGTGATGGAATGCTAAAACCTGCCATTCCCTCAGATGCAAACCTGCTCCCAAAAATCAAGGACTGATGAAGTTCCTGTGTTCTATGATGGTCCGTGGATGCCATTTGAAGATCATTCCATGCGCGAATGGAATGCGGAAAACTGGACTGAAGGGGCCCCCTCTGAGAAAATGCTGAGCCTTGGGCTAGCATCGCTTGGTGTGGTGTCAGTGGTGGGGGGTTAAATGCAAATCCCCCAGCAACTCTATTCTCTGCATTGGTGTCATTGTTCCAAGCCACCATTCTCTGAAAATTGGCATCAAACCCTACCGGAGCTGATCCTTCGAAAAGAGTATGATCAGTTGAAGGTGTATGGTTTGTGTCTGCCTGCGACTGCCCATGAAGTAGACCTTGGTCTTGGAAAGAGTGAAGGGATAGGCCAAGATCTTCAGCGTGGTTTGTGGTTCTTGAAATTATGGTAGGATAGCTTTGGAAGTTCATTGATGAGTTCGTGGAGCTTGTTGGGAAGAAAGATTTCATGGTGTCAGAAATGGCATCAGGGTCTATGGGTGGTGCAAGGAAAGATGAATCATTACTTGGATTATGATCAGCCAATTGCCTGTGGAGCTGAAAACTATAGCCAGATGATTCCGGTTCCTCTGCAATTGCCATTTCACTAGATCCAGCGTTCTGGTTTGCTTCCAAGTTTGCGTTAGTATTGTTAGGTTGCCATGGTGGTAGCTCAGCAAGCTTGTCAATTGAATTCTTCGCCTTTTTGATAAGCCAATCAACAGCTTTGCTGGGTCGATCATAGCCTAGCCGGTCTTGAACATCATAAAATTGTATTGCAGTATGAGCCGATAACCGGACCCTGCGGTCCCTAGGACCCTTGGCTGTGTAAACCTTGCTGTGCCGATCTTTACGCCCAGTGGACCGAATAATGTGGCCACCTTGGACCTGAATAATTTCTCCTCCAGTGCTCTTCATTCCCATTCTTTGTCTGTGTTTTGCATTTTCAATGGTTTGGTCTAATGATTCTGTGCTAGGCACTGCTTCTGTCTGATTTGAATTTATGGCATCCTCATATCGTTGTTGGTTTTGGAGGAGTTGAGGATGCTGGAAAAGGCTGTGTGTGCCTAAGCTTTGCTCTTCTGTTTCTTCTGGTCTTGGTTGTATGATTTGGTAGATAGGATTCTGTGGGTGCTTCTGATTTCTCTGGAAATCCAGATTCCTAATCTTCAGATTATGCTCTCCCAAAGTTTTTGATTTCTCAAAGGTTTTCAAATAAACTCGAAACTCCTTGCTTTGCCTCCTTTAATCTTGATTCGTCTGCTCTTGTTGCTTCCTGCTGCCACAAAACATAAAGCTGATACTCCTGCTATTGCTGATCCCAAAAACTCCTGCCATTGCACTCCTAGATTCCATACCCACAAGAACACCACTAAGTCCAAAATCCACACAGCACAAGAAAAACAAGCCTACCCAAAAAACTTGATTTGAAGTTTTTTTTAATAAATATGTAACCAACTCATCTATCTTTATCTCTACAGAGAGCAAGATGTCAGAGGAAAAATACACTAGAATGGTGGTGAGTTTCTCTATGCAAGCTCAAAACTTTACAACCAAAGCAAAACAAAATTGAACTAGAATTTGGACCAATATTCCCTAGAAAAGAAGAAAATTGAAGTATTAAAAAAAAAAAAATTAAAACTCACAGAAAGAGTTTTGCCCTTCACTACCAAGAGTTTGAAGATGGAGGAAGAAGGTAGTAAAAAGAATACTTAGGCAGCAGTAAATAGAAGAGCAAAATCCTAACTTGGCCTATGAGAGCTGTTTTGATGCTTCTGAAAAGGGTGGCAGAGTTTAGTCAGAAAGGAGATTAAAGATATTTTGTCATCACAGCCCCACACAACACTAATGTAACAGTAACATCTAGGTCAAAAAAAAAAAAAACCCCAAAATCTATCTATCTAGTTACTACCCCCCCCCCCCCTCCTCTCTCTCTCTCTCTCTCTGCTAGTTGCTACTTTTTCTTAAAGAATTGTTTTTTTTTGGTCAGATTCTTTAAAGACTTGTTAATCAGAATTGTTGTATTATAATTACAGCCATGGATTAAAAAGAGATTACCCAATTAGCCACCACTCCTGTCCTATGCTTTACCAGCTTTGATAATGATATCTAACAGCTTTTCTGGTTTCTCCCCTATATGTACTTCATAGTTCCACTGTTAAATAAGTGTGGTTTCACCAAAGGAAAGGACAAACATCCTTCCCGCAAAACACTTTACATCCTTTTCCAAACTTTGTACTCTCTCAATCATAATCATACTTCAGGGAAAAGCTTAAGACTGGTAGTAAAATAGTAAAAAACTAGTTTCTTTCTGTAATGTAATAAATTCTTCTACAATTAAGGATGCAACGTACAAGGAAAAAGGATCGATATTTCAGACTGGCTAGCTCTCTTCACAAATAGTAGGTGGGGGCGTAGTTTATGGACCTAAATAGTGCCATAAATATGAAGGCTGTAGCTTTTATGAGTGGTTGAAATGCAAGGGAGTGAGGCTAAGTTCACAACTAGTGACATAGATAGATTGTAAGAGGCTAGCTACACTGTCTGAACATTTTCTTAATGATATTTTGAATGAAGGGAGCATCTTGTAAACAGGAATCAATTGATGATCGGTTTGTTTGGCAGCATCACAAATATAGTTAACATCATTCTACAACTTAGTGATTCTTCTTTCTTTTTCCTTTTTTCTTTTTTTCCCCTTCCCAAACGTTACAAAAGAATTGCTGGTTACCATCGTCTCCCCAACTTGGCAAGTGTTAGAATAACTTGTAGAATGACAAGAAAAGGGAAAAGATGGAACTAAATGAATAAATAAATCTGTCAATAGCTTCTAGCATCACTGGATGATTGCCAATCATATACTGTCATTCATTTCCTGCTAGTTATAAAAAATAATCAGATCCGTTGCACCAACTAATTAAAATTATTTAATTTGATTCAATAGATAGGACTGGTATAGTAATTTCTTCCATTAAAAACAGATAAAATTATAAATCCCTTTTGCTTTGAGAAAAAAATTAATTATTCCTCTAGTTTCAAAAAATAATTATTTAGTTCTTTTGCTATTTTTCAATTTATTTTAATTTTTTTGTTTTGAGAAATAAAAAGTGAATAAAAAATAAGTAAAAATATGAAAAGATGGATGAGAAAAGAAGATATTTTATTAAATAAAAAAATATTAAATTAATCATGATGTTAAAAAGATTAAATAATTAGTTTTTGAAGATAGAGGGATTCATTAATTTGTTTCATGAAACAATAAGAATAATTTATAATTTATTCAATAAAAAACATGATATAACAACTATTGGTATAAATAGTCACTAACCTATAGTTCAATCGATAATAGCATACCTCTTTCTTCAAAAAAAAAAAAAAAAGTTGGAATTTTTATTTGTAACTTAAAAAACAATAAACTTACAATACAAATATTAAAAACTACATAAAGAAAGCACGTGATAGGCTTTTTTTTTTTTTTTAAAGATAGAGAACCTATAGTCTACTCAATTGTTAGCCGTTCAGTAGTTAATATTAGTAGTCAGAAGGACAAGAGAAAAGAATGGTTACTACTACCACGACAAATTAAACTGACTACTATTATAACAATAAAAAACATAATTTTTTGCAAGAACAAGAAACCCACTGACATTATATTAGAAACCTATGGGTGCACGTGATAGAATTGTAAATTGATTTGCAGTACTTTTTCATGACCAAATCCACCAAAATTTATTACGATTCTCCTACTTCTTTATTTATTCATTCATGACACCCCATGTTAAAATATTGCAAAAGATGCTGAAACTATTTTTTTTTATGTTCAAATACCCATTACTTAATTAACAACTATCAAAACCATGATGGGGTTTCTTTTTCTATGTGTATATGAGCCTCTATATATATATATATATATATTGAATCATTAAATATATTATTGTATCTGGAGTACCTATAATAATTGGTGCATGAAGGGCATCAGAAATAGCCTGCAACTTTCATCTGCCTCTCAAGAAACAGCAATGTGCACCACCACCCTCCAATCTTGATTAAACTAAAATAGCAAAAGTAATAAAAAGCCTTGGAGAACTTGTGATATGACTAAATGGGTCATACTTCCTTGTCACAAGGAAGTGCTTTCTCACCACATAAAATGGCTACAGTCATTTTGTTCAATTATTTGAATGATAATCAGCCGCCCACGGCACCACATCATGACACCTGCTTTTTTCTTTTTTATCAGCCATTTTTATGTAAAGAAATACGCACATATTTTATGGATGTTAGGTATTTCTTATAATTGCAACACCTGAAAATCGTTTTTTTTTATTGAAAGAAAAAAAAAGTGCATAATTATGTGACCATTATGCACACCTAACGTACATGCACACAGCACACACATACTTTATCAATGTCATTCCCACTCCTCAAAATGCTACCTTTTTTTTTTTTACCAATGGTACATTTTACATTAACCAAATTTGCTATATTGTTCGTAATTTTGGAATGTCTGATTAATTTGCTCTTGTGGTTTTGTCAGACTTGTGTTGTCTGCAAAGGCCTTTTTTCCAAATTCAAAGTAAATTTCTTTGAATTCCGAACAAAATTAGTTCTATTTTCAACTAAAATGAGATATAGGGTAAAAAATTAAAAAAAAAAAAAAGTTTAGAAGTATCTTTGAAGTTTGTCTAAAAAGAAAAAAAGGAATGAAATATTGTTTTCATTGCTTTTATTCTTATATGAAAAGGAGAGACCCCGTGCACTACAAGTCTTTTCCAGAAGGGTTGACGCAATAATAATAACCTAGAATCTTGCTCACGAAGTGCAAGCATGTTAAAAGAATCGGTACAAAAGGTTGCACATGGTATTAGAAATCGTGAAAGCGAAAGAGAAATATCAGAGTGTCATGAAACGATAGTAGTTTTATACTGCTACAGCTCCAACCTAATTGAAACTGATATGATTTACTATGACCTTTCCCCTCTCGTGACCTTACAGTGATATTGCTTTTGTCACATGCCACTTATGGCTTGAAGCTACACGATCACATTAATTGTATCTCTCATTTCAGAGCGATTTAACTAAATTCATGAAGCCCTACAGATATATATATATATTTTTTTTCCTCAACGCATAGAAAATATAAAAGAAACTAAAAGTTGGTAATTTAATTAGTAAATTTTTAACCTCTTTTTTCTTCAAAAAAAATCAGTAATTGAATTCCTCACAAAGTTTAATAACAAATTTGAGATTTAAGATAAAAAACAATGGATGTTTTAATAAAATCAGGGTGAAAAATATGTTTTTCAAATATGAGGGATAATGTTATAATTGTGTTTAAAGCCAAGAAGCTAAAGATTAATTTACTCAAAATAAGGGTGAATAGAAAAAGAAAAAGAGAAAAGAAAGTAGCTAATTCATGTTGCTGCTGCTGCAGAATTTATACAACTGAGCAGACCTAGCTATTGCATTTGCACAACCGTCTGGATTCAGTGGCTTGGCATTCTAAATTTGACAAACATGATCAATTATTATATTATGGTGAACATTAATTTAAACCAACTTTTACTGCAATTCCAGATCATTTACAGGCAACACAATTTCATTAACAGGAAATAAGTTGGCTGAATTTATGTTAAATTGATCTGCGTCCGTGAGTTCAAATTGAAGCATGCCTGAACTGTCCTGGAAAAATTGTCATTAAACTTTGTTAGTATTAATTAGCCACCATACCATTATAGGGCTATAGCATTAGATCAGACTGTTTGCAATTATAGACATATACACAACATTATGGAGATGCAACTAACATTGAGGCATCTTTGACAATTCGCAATTAATTGAATGTATTTTGATCAACACTCTTCAATGCCCTTTAAATTTGGACACCTTCAATTTCTTATGACCCTTTATTTCTTTTCCGAAAGTACAGTTATCTCATGAACTCATCTGTACATTTAGCCTAGCACAGGATGCATTAATAATCACCTAACTATAGGAAAAAAAAACCAACAAGTTGTTGGTTCAATAATAAACTAGCTAGTCCAGAAGAATTTTCTACCAATGTGCATAATTTGAATCTTAGAGTCCTATTTGTTAGAAGAAGTTAAATTTTATCATTTTCGTTTAGTATTTATTAGAAGGAATTAGACTTTGTTGCTTTTATCCCAAACAAGATTAGTTTTATTTTTAATATGAGATGGAGATACTTAGATAATAAAAAAAAAGTAAGAAAAAGAAAATTAGCTCAAACCCTTTTATCTCGCAAAAATTTGCTTTCTATACTAAAAGGTGGACTAAAACCCATTAATTTGTATTAATTTTTGGGGACTTCTAAAAACCAGTGGAGTAATAACGAAACAACACCATCCTTTAGAGCAAAGTTGTTTTGCTTCCATCTAGTTGGGTCGGTAATTAAAGAAACGAGGAAAAGGCTTATTCAGCTTGAACTTTAAGATTTAGATTCCATCTATCAAATGACGATTTCAGCGCAAAAGATTAAAATCTTAAGAGATATTTTATATTTTAAGATATAGCTTATATTATTTTGTGATATATTTTTGCGAGTAAATGTCTTTTTAGATTAGAAATTTGCACAAGATCATATTACTTTGTTTTTATTTTTTATTTTTTAATTAATTGAAAGAGAAAATAAAAATAGTATTATTTGAATTTTTTATCGTTTGATTAATAAAACTTTGATATCATTTTAAATTTAAAAATTTAAACTATCATATCAAAAGATCATTTCAACATAAAAATTTAAATTTTATATACATTAGATAGTTTTATTTAAAACTTAATCAATTGATAAATACAAAATAGATCACAAAACGTTAAAATTAGAAACCGAGTAGAGATTGTTTTTCAGATCATGATAGACATTTTACAATCAATAATTCATTAATTTGATATATAAAATTGAAAATTCATTCAAATTCTCATAACATCTAATAATTTTTCTAAAAAAAAATAGTAAAGAAAAAATTTAAACTCGACTGAATATAAAATTTAAGACTTAATAAAATAAAACTGATCCGAAAATACATTATCGTTTCAAATAAAAACCAAAAAACATATTTTCCCATGTTTTGTTAAAAATTATTTTAGAATATTTAGCATTCTATGTAACGAAAGGGTGCTGTTGCACGATTATTTCCTGTCCTACAAAACATAATCAAATACAAAAGTTTTGCTCCCTTCCAAGGCACATATAATTTCATTTGCTATAGGATAATTGAATCCACCCTAATGTAAATGTCTGCAGTGATTTAAGCTGGAAAGATCATAACTTTAATTTGGTAATACAGCAACTGCTTTAGACTGCAACGACATCCATATCTTTCTGATGAGAAACAAAAGTGAGACAATATTGCGAGCTAGGCATGCGAGGAAGGAAAGGAAAGGAAGGGGCGGGGAAAGTTTGTTGCAGTCCTAGAAAAGGACAATGGCATAAAAAGAAGGGGGGCTGATGACAGATTGATTTATCAGCTCCTTTAATATTTTCATCTGTGAAAAACGTGAAAGCCACCAATCAAGGCGCGTGATCCAAGATGATCATTTATTTGTCTCACTCTATATATTCTGTTAGTAAATTTTTGCGAGAAGAAAGAAAGAATATTGAATAATATTGCAATATTTATGGATGATGATGCATCTTAATTAGACCTTACAAAAACTGCCAAGTTGCTGCTGCTTAGTTCTGTCTTACTTTCAGTATGTATATTTTGCATTTATTTCTGACAGCTTGAACCTGTATTTTGGCTATTTTATTGAATTGCATGCATTATCATTGTAAGGCATCCAAAAGAGCTGCCTCTTCTTTCTCTCTGTCTCTCTCCCTCTCTTCTTTTGTCACTGTTGTGTGTGTTTTATGACTATTCCAATCTCTAAGACTTAAAGGCATGAAATCGATATTTTTATGACTGCGAGAGCATGTCTATAGAAGGGGATTAGAGCCATATAGCTCATCGGCCATAGGGGCTAGCCAGATGGGGCTTAGACCTTTATAGTCTTTCTCCCTATCACCAATCAATTAGTTTTAATTGGAAGACAAGTTGGCTTTCTGCAATCCTTCCTTTTCTGAGATTTCAGCATGCTTTTATGAGAAGATGTTTAATACTCACAATGTCTTCATCAACTGCTCAGAAAACTCCCTGTAGATGAAAAGAAGTACTAGTATGAAACTAAATATATAATTGTTGGTTGGTGATAAGCCAACTGATCTTCCAACGAATTTTAAAGAATTTTCTTTTAACGGACAACATTCAAATTTTAAAATTATACTTATTTAAAGAGATTAAATATTATCGCTTTCGCTTCAAATAGAATTATTTTTATCTTCAATATAGGATGAAGATATGTAAATAAAATTAAAAATATATATATTATTGAGCTGTAAAGAGAAAAAATAATTGGTTGTGCATGATCATGTAATTAGTTTAGACTTCGAATTTGGATTTTTTTTTTTTTTTTTTGTGATATACATATAAATATGAGTAAATTATAAATTAGTCACTCTCATTTTAAGAAGTAAATTAATTAGTATTTTTTATTTCAAAAACTAATAATTTAGTTCCTATATTTTGAAATCTACTTATAATTTAGTCATTTTTACTCCTTTTTAATTTATTTTGATTTTAAAAAAATAAAAAAATGAAAAACATATGAAAAAATTGATGAAAAAATAAGAGATTTTTTTAAATAAAAATAATATTAAATTAAGTATGTTCGATATTGATAAAAAAAATATATATAGTTTTTGAAACAAGAGGAAATTATTAATTTGTTTCTTAAAACTAGACTGACTAATTTATAATTAACTCATATAAATATTGAAAGCAGAACTGCTTTAGAGTTGATTGTGATTTTCTGTGATCCTTCTTCTAATTCGGCTTGAATACTCAACTAGCTAATAGAATAGAGGCGCCTACGTACTTTAAATTTTAGTTAGAATTTATTCATATTCAGGGGCCATAATGCAAAAGGGCACAAATTCAGAGATTAATAAGAAATATTGAGTGACACTCATCTTGTTTCTTGAATTGTTAATTAAGTCCACTCTGTCAATTAACTTTACAGTTCAACTATGATTGTATCATTAAAAGGTGTCGATTTGTATTTGCATCCTCTCTTTTGTGATTAAAATAAATAAATAATCAAGCCAACTCTATATTTTTTTGAAATGACCAAATTAACCTTTTTTATATTTGCTTTAAATTGGAAATTTTGTATCAATTGTAAGAAAAACTTCTCAACCTAGCATCCAATGGAAAGTTGAGAATATACGATATATCAATTTTATATCAAGAGATTTCTTCATATTTATGTGTGTGAAAGGCAGCACTAGTTGTGGACAATGTTAGTACATATCTCACTGTAGTAAAATAAAGCCATATGTAAAGTTGAGAATATACGATATATCAAAAGGCTATATATTTATTATGGAATCTAAGCTCAGCTATAAAATTTTAGGAAAAACATTAAATATACCCCAAAAATTTTTGGGTCTAATAAATTTGCATTAAAAATTATTTTTTGTTTCAATTTTACAATTAAATTATTTTGATTTTTCAATTAAAAACTTTTGTTAGAATCACTTAAAGAAAAATTAAGTTTTTTTTTTTTTTTTTTTTTTTTTTAAAAAAAAAACAAGATGATTTCGTTTCTTGCAAAAAAAAAAAAATCAATTAAATTTATCATTTAATTTTAATTTAATTTAATTTTTTTTATGTCAAAAGTGTTGGTTATATTCAAAATCATGATTCAATGTAAAATGAATTCCAAATATTGCATGTATAAGTAAAATAATAATATTTAATATATTAATTAAAAAATTCTCACTATTAAAAAGAACAAATTTTAGTAATCTTGATAAAAATTTATATTAAAGATCAAAAATAAATTTAAATTTGGCAAAAAAATATATATATATAAATAATTAAAGAAAAATAATAAAAATTCCTACTCTAGGCACAAATTGATTGGAATGAAAGAAAATTCTAGTGATTTACAAATAACAAGATAAAAATGAACAAAATTTTTTGACTATTTTGATCGAGATTTTTTAAATTAGAAACGCAAGTACAATATTATTACAAACAACTCATTAATTAATTTATTTTTCATAAGTTTATAGGATTTTTTACAAAATTAATTTCAGACTTGAAAAAAATTAAAAAAAAAACTTACCATGTAATTTTTTGAAAAAATAATCGTTAATATAGAGACAAAATGAATAGAAGTATAGAACATTTCTTAGCATTTAGAGTGAATAACCCTAAATCTAAACTTAGTGTCATATTTTTTCTTATTTAATTTTCTTATGTTTTGAAAAATATTATATTTATGCAAAATAATATTAATGTTAATTTCAAATCAAATTATTGTCAAATAAAAGCGAGATAAATTCATATTTGATCAATTTAGTAAAAGAGTTACAAATTTGGATTATCATCAAACTCATATCCTAAAAATTATATATCAGATCTATTTAATTATATTATAATCAGATCGAATTCGAATCAAGATCTAATCTATTGAAAACTTTAAGAATAAAAACTTTAAAGAGTTCTAACAACACGGTAAAAATGTAGAATCCAATCTACTCGACAAAAGATAATTTGAGAAGTGTTAATTAACAAGCCTTGTATGAAATAGTTAGGAAAAAAAAACAAATAAATATATAAAGTCAAGATTCTAGTTATTTTAAACGAATCCAATGTCAATTATCAAATTTAATATACAATAAAAAAAATTGGTTGAGAAAATCTTAATTAGAATTCTGGTTGATCAAGGATCAAGTAGAGAACAAAAGAAGTATTGAGTTATGCTGATTCATATTCGACAACTCACATGTAGTTACGATCAACATCAGCTAGGTTGTTGTTGTACGGGATTGATAATTGATTGCGCATGGTTTCGTGACCGATTAAAAAGGGACCCATTAGTAAAAATTGACACAACCCTTCGAGATATTATTGTACACACAAAATATTAGTTCCAATACCATAAAGGAAAAAGACAACACTCGTTAGTTATGATAATTGTTGTTGTTGCTGTTTTTATTGTGAGGAGCCTTAATTTTAGAACATGGGCGAAGGAGTACTTCATCAGAAAAGGCATTTGCTGTGCTCAGTTGCTCACACTTATGATGTCTAGTTCCCATCATATATATGCCATATTGTTACCATTCAGAACAAATATGACAGAACATTTCGAACCAGAGTTTACTGCAAAATTTTTTACATGAGACGGTGACAATTTTGCCGAAGACAAACATGAAAAGAAATACGTTCTTAATTGATGTAAAATGTCAGGCAAATTATGTAAAAGGTTACCTTCTTGTGATTGTTAATTGGTAAGCGGTTATGTTTAATAAAACTCGTCAGGGTTCATACATGTTTTTTTTAAAAAATAAAATTAATAAGTGGTTGGTGGAAAAAATATTTGAGAGATAAAACTAGGGAGACAAGCCTTGGGTATCTATAGAATGAAAATTTCTACTGATTCAAAGGGGCAATTTGAGATTTTCAGTTGAAATGCATATAGTTATGTAATTGAAATTAGATTCAATTTTTTTTAAAAAATAAATTTTATAATAGATATTACTTCTTAATTTTATAAATTATTTATCTATTGTTTGTTTTTAAGTTCTATCAAATGACTTAGAATCCAAAATATTTGTTTTGTTGTTAGATCTCTTTGAAATTTTACTATCATATAAAATTAGATAGTTAATATTGAATTTCTTTTTTTTAAGTTAAACCTTTGGTGAATGATTTTTTAAAAAAATTTAAATTTAATTATTTATTGTTTATTTATTCGATGTGAGATAGATTTTTTAACAAAATATCAAATTTCGATACCACTAAAGTTTGCTTTAAACTCCTTCCATGCATGAAGAAAAAAAGGGCAAAAAAAGAAAAAAGAAAAAAGACACCTTTGTTTCTGACCTTAGAATAATCTTTTTATTTTTTTTGTGTAGTAACTTTTTTTAATCCCTTTGGCTTTCTCCCTCCTAGCCTTATTACGAGTGGACTTCATTAATCCATGCATGAATCTCTCCTGTAGTTTTTGTTTGCAATGTAAACTCTCTCAAAACAATATGATCAAATGGTCACTAAATATACCATTAGAGTAATTAGCTAGCACTAATACTGACCTTAAAATATTGGAGGCAGGATTATTAATAATAATAGTCGTAGCAGTAAGTTGGTAACTTCTGAGACCCACGTTGGCCCCAACTCTGAAATACTAATCAAAAGAAAATTTGAATGTTTTGCAATTAAGTTTAGGAAGCTGTGGGATCGGAGATCACAGCAATTATGCGTATGGTAGGCCCGATTCACTGCACACTGGTGGTGACGATGACTTTAAGCAAGTGGAGCAAGAGGAGTTGTCTACATCGATACTCTCACCCATGAAATGGGTTGTGTTCTTTCGAGTGCTTTTTAGATAAAAACTTTCCAACATTCTCTTGTTCCTTTCAAAATGTAACTAAAGTCTCTTCTCTAGACAAATCTTTTCTCGTGGGCAAAGCAAAAAAGTCATAGCAGTTTCCTAAGTGAGAAGTTTAGGGTTTTTTCAAAACCATAAAACATAAGCTATCCAAGAAGGAAAAGTGCAGACTACCTAGGCATGCAATAGTAGGCAAGTGGAAAGATCTCTGTTAAAAGCAAGCATAGAATCGAAGATAAAATAATTTTGTCCAACACATGCATATGGATGATGGGCTCTCCCAAGCTTTTTGGAAAGAAGATTATACCAGTACACTTTGCAAACACTATGAACTGTTAAACAATATTGAATCTGCTTCTCATGCTAACAATTGCCTAGATATATATATATATTTTTAATTTTTTGATTAAAAAAAAAAACATTTTTATCTTTTTAGTATTAAATTTATTTTTTAAACAAATGTTATATACAAAATGTTAAGTGGTCATATTGATTTATCCAATTCTAAATACTCCAATGTTAATATAATGCATTAAAATTGAATTCTCCTTCTCAATGAAGTCGAAAATAAATATAAATTCTCGTGGAATTGGTGCAATGGCTAGAATAACTATGTTGATGTGTCCAGTTGGAGAATTGCATGAAGTAGTGAAAGATTTTTGTCCATAAACAAATGAGGTCACTGCTTAGCCAATCACCTATCATAATCTATCTTTTTATTTATTTATTATTATTATTATTTAAGGGATCCTTTCATGATAGTGAAAGTTATGTGTGAATCATGAAAGCAATCCCATTGGAAAGTCATTCCTTTCTTTAATTGCCAATGGCATGCCATTCTCTTTCTGTCCCTTTCCTTCTTGAGCTGTATCCTTCAAGGTGTCAAATTATAGAGGATAAAAGAGACAGGAATGAACTAGAATACGTACTGACTTGGGCTTTTAGTTCACGCAAGTTGTTTCATTTGATCTTTAGTTAGTTTTTCTTCCTCGCTTTTACGCTTTCAGTTTCCTTTTTTGGGACTCACTTTTGCATTTATTTTCATTCTCCTTCAAATAAGCAAAGTTATGTTGTATGGATAAATCAAGCATCTTTTCTTTTGTTTTTTCAGCAGGTGCATTTCGGATTACACAAAAAGAATAATCTTTTTCAATCTCTAAATCTCCCCTATCCTTTACTGACAGATCAATAAAATCCTATAGTTTAACCTAACCGTTGTTTCGAAAAATGAAGAATCTAATTTAATTGAAAGTATTATGATAATGTTCCATGATTGTTTACACCATTGTCATTTCTACTTTTAAAGAATTTATTTGGGTTTAACGACATAATTTGTTTCTAAACTATTAGAATTATGATAAAATAAAGTTTATATCATTAATTTAAGTTATTTGAGCCTCAAACTATTGATTTTTAGATAAATTTTATCTTTTTTATCAAAATATTAACTACCAACTAAAATTCTTAATTAAAATGATTTTATTTTAAGCATTTTAGTTTTTATAAAATTAAAATTAACTTTGAAATTTTTTTTAATAATTCAAGTTTTTTTCCTACTAAATGTATTCATTACACATCGATAATTATTTAACAACAAAAATCAAATTTATAAATAATAAAATAATATAAGCTTCCTTAAAAGCTATCATTATTAAAAAAAATTTCAAAGTTAATTTTAAATTCTTAAAAAAAAAAACTAAAATGTTTAAAACAACATCATTTTAACCATTTCAGTTAACGATCAACATTTTAACTATAATGAAAAAAAAAAAAATTAGATTCAATACCTCAATTTGATAACATTGACCTTATTTTGCTAGAACCCTAGTAGTTTGAGCTGTAAACTATGCCATTAAACCGTTGTTTAGCAATCTCCCGCTGCATACGTGTCACATTTTATAGGTGTCTGCCTATGGATAGAATAATTCCAGTCCATACACTTTGTTGGATTAAATGGGAGCCCAAAATCATCTCATTATATTAGGTCCAATGGGCTCCACGAACTCAAGAGAGAAAGAAAACTGTTCTCTCATAAGGCCATCGTATTTGGGCTGACAATTTGCATTCCCTGGGTCCTGATGAGGCTCTATTATATTTTCAAAACATGTTAAAAGCTATGAACCCAAGATGATTTTATCGAGGATAGATGATCCATTAAAGCTAACTCTTGGATGAAATAAATTAGATTTTAACAATAAATAAAAAAGGTTAAAATATCAAAAAAAAATTTTGAATTTGAATCTATTTGAAAATCATTATCTGAATTTTTTATTTAGATTTAACCTTCCTGATTTTTTTTCTAATTTACTCTATCTTTTAGTTCTCTAATATTTATTTTTTAAAAAATAACAATCACATAAATAGCTCTATGATGAAAATCATTCAGTAAAATTTATCTTAAATTCTTTAAAAATTTAGGATGAATTATTTTATATTTTTAATATTCAATAAATAAATAAATATATTTTTTGATCTTCAAAAATTCTAGAAATTTTCTAGAAAAAAATGAATTGACTCTTTTTCAACATATGTGTAAAATTTCAACTCAAAATATTAAGAATTAATTTTTTTAACATTGGTGATGGTTGAAAATCATAGAAAAAATTAAATTTAAAAAAATAATAAAAATCAGAAAGATTAAAATAAAAATTAAAAGTAAAAAAAAAACTGATTTATAAATTAAATAAAAATTCAAGAGAAGTTTGACTTTAAAAAAAAAAAATCTCTTTGGAAGGCAAAATTCCACGGTTGCTTTTAAAAGCGGGATGCAGATGCCAAAGTAGGAAACTTGTTCGATGCTGACTTGGCTTTGAATGTCTCACTTTCAACGCTCTTAATTTTTGGCTCTTCCAACTCAGCACCTGAAATTTTTCACTAGTACCGGGAACTTCTATCGCTTTGGCACCTTAAAAATTAAAAATGTCTCCTCTCCCTCTCTTTTGCACATGACAATTTTGACTTAAAACCATGAAATAGATTTCTAATTCCCTCCTTGAAACTTGAATCTAAATCTCAAAATCTCTAAAATTTTTAAATTTGACAAAACTATGAAATGCAAACTTGCAGCATCAAATTTTTTTATGATCCCTCCAAAATGAACCCATTGGCATAGATAAATATTCACTTCCTCATTGGCCTCTCCATCCCACCAATTAGAATACCATCCCTCAATATTCTTCTCAAAATATTACCAAATGGAGGCCACATATCTTTGTGACCCCAACAACAACAAAGAAAATATCCCTCCATTCTCTGCAAATCAAACCGACCCATTTCTTGCAAATGTGCCACCAACCAAGAAAACCTTTAAAAGAAGAGTTAGGCAGCCTCTTGCTGACATTACTCACCTCTTCAAAAACTCTGCTCAATCAGGTTTAGCTGAGGAAAATGGTTCTACTGCTACATTAGCTTCATCTGTTTCAGTGTGTGTATCAAATTCTAGGAAGAGGAAAGCATTCGAGGAGGCTGAAGAGTTCTGCGGCCCCAGGTCACCAAGGATTGGTTTCAGATAGTCCACATATACATATATATGTATGTATTATAATTATAATTGTTTAGTCTTTATAACATATGGAATTCTTCTGTCAATTGGGAAAAAGGAAAATTTTTCATATGGGATTTGATTGGGAAGGTTTAATTCTTATCCACCTTAATACTCCATTTATTATTATCACAGTCAATAAACTATATATTATTGATGCTACAAAATTTACAAATTTTGTGTCTACTTTTTTCCCCTAAATCAGCTTTAGATCAGCTCTCTAGTTTTATTTTCTGAAGCTTAAATTTGACGAGTACAGTGATTCTGACTTTGCCAATTGGCTTATTTCAAAATAATGAATGGAGCAAAGTGAAAAACCAGATTTTTCTTCAATTTTATTCTTGGTTCAGTATCTATTATAAAATTGTAAAATTAATGATAATAATAATAATAATTAAAAAAAAAGTAATGACAATAGTAAAGAATTAAAGAGAAAAATCTTGGAGAGTTGGAGAGAAAGATGATAGAAAACTAAATTATAATTTTCCTTCACTCAACACATCTATCTATAGATAAATGTTACACATAATTTAAGATTAGAGATTTTATGAGGAATAAATATAAAACATGTATGATAATTATGAATTGAATCAGAAAAGAGAATATAAATGGTATATTTATTAATTACATATGTTATAACCCATTTTTTACTATAATTTTCATTTTATACAAAACTCCAAAAAATTACATGTTGCATTGTTTCTTGAAATTTTTTTTAATGATTTTTAAGTATTTTTATAAATTTTTAGGATTAAATCCCTTAAGTTATCCTCCAACTTTAATTTAAAAAAAAAAAAAAAACAAAAACAAAGAGAAAAGAGTAGAAAAGGAAATAATACAAAAGGAAAAAAAAAGAAAAAGAAAAAATAAAACAAACTACACACCATCCAACCCTCACATAAAAAAAGAAGAAGATTACGCATCATCCAATCTTCACCAATAAAAATAAAAAAGAAAGGTTAAGATGGAGAGAAGATCTAAAGGTGGAGAATGAAGTTATGATAAGATAAAAACCAAGAGAGAAAATATTAAAAGAGGAGGTAGCATTTTTTGAAAGGGGGTTAGGTTTTTTTTTTTTTTTTTTTTTAAAAAAAAAAGCGAGAGCAAGAGAGAAAATAGAGAAAGAACAAACCGGAAAAAAAAAAAAAAGAGCTTGGAGAGAGAAGAAAAAAAAAAGGAAGAACGGGTGAAAAGAAAAGAAGAAAACATCACCCAAGCATTTCAACAAGTTTAAAAATGAGGTAATTTACAAACTCTAACCTTTTTAAACCATTTTTGAACTTCAATAGGTAATCTCCTATGTTTTTTACTTCATTTTTTTGTTAATCTTAATAGGAAAATTGTATATGAATGTTTATTGATGCTAATAAATTTCATAGCCAACTTAAATTTTAATAAATATGGTTACTGGCTATGTTTTGAATGTTTAGTATAGCTCTAGATATTTTTTATTTTCTGAATCTTTTGTATAAATGCTATTTATGTGTCTCCAATTCATGTGTGAAATTTCAAATTTTTAGGACATAATATGGTTTTTCATTTAAATCATTTTGTTGACTACTGCAATATAATTTTTCAAATTGAAAATAGCTATTGCAATATTTTGCATTATTTGATATAGTCTTAAATGTTTTTACTTTTTGAATTTTTTTTTTTTAACATCATCTATTAGTCTTCTATCTATATGTGAAATTTCAAATCTTTATTATATAGGATGGTTGTCTATTTAAGTTACTTTTTTGGCTATTATGTTACTAATTTTTCTAGCTAAAAATGGCTATTGTTTTGTATAATATGTTTGGTATGACTCTAAATGGTTTTAACTTTTGATTTTTTTTTTATATGAATATCATCCATTTGTATATAATCCATGTATGAAATTTCATATTTTTAGGACATCGGATGTTTGTCCATTTAAGCCATCTTGTTAGTTGCGGTAATAGTGATTTCCCAAACTAAAAATAGTTGTTGTGTTTTGTATATTTGAAGTAGCCCTACATGTTTTTATTTCTAATTTTTTTTAGTATGAACATCATCTATTTGTTCTCAATTCTTGTGTGAAATTTCAGATTTTTAAGACATAGAATAGTTAGTCTATTTAAATCATCTTATTGGTTAAGGTAGTAGTAATCTATCAAATTAGAATTGGTGGCTATGGTATTTTACATATATATATATATGCTCTCATTTAAAAATCATATAAATTATATTAATATATTTTTTAAAAAATAATCATATTTTTAAAAATAAAATTATATAAAAATAAATTAAAAAATTAACTTGATGTTTACATAAAAAATGAAAAATCGAAGGAATCATCTTAAATTTTTTTAAAAAAAATAAAAAAATGACAAATCGAAGAAAATATATTTTTTAATTGGCATCCGTATGTGAAAAAAAAGGTTTTTTTTTTCATAAATTTAGCACAAAATAAATGAAAAAAATTGCTAAAAAATAAAAAAGAAAGAATGAAAAAACCAAGCTGCAAACATTTCTTATTATAATGCATGTTAGAAGGAAAAAAAAAAAAAAAAAGAGGAGCAAACCATGCGTTGTTTGCTACAACTTTTGACGAACTTGAGTTCATCTAAAATTTAATCGAAAAAAAAAGGGTTATGGGTTTTTTAAACTCCAAAACTGAATTCGTGCATCATTTTTGCTCCAAACACTTTAAAAACACCGAATTGAGGTCAAGAAACATGTTTGGAACCTTAAATTTGATTATAATGCACATAAAAAAAAACACAAATAAATTAAATTCAAAAACTCATAATATTTCGAGGTCTTGATCTACCTCTTCCGATCTTTTTATGTGTTAAAACCATAAAAAACAAACTCAACAATTCAAGATAAAGAAATTGAATGAAATATCACCGATCAAAGTGGTCAAAATAAGTTTGGCCAACGCTCTCTTTGCTTCTTCTCTCTCTTTCTCTCTTTCTTTCTCTCTCTTCTCTATAGTCGAAACCAAAATGTGTCATAAATGAAGTTGTGGATCAAAAATATTTTTGGAAACATCAAGAACTAAAGTGTAAAAATTTGTATATAGTTACTGAAAAATAGCTCTAAAATCACTGAAAAACCAAGGTTGAGTCAACAATGCTACTAAATCTAAAGCTATAACGAATTGAATACTAAACTCTCTAAATGTTTTTTTTTTTTTTTTTTTTTTTTTTTTTTTTTTTGCTCTTATGTATAACTCAAGAGAATCCAATCATGTTTGGAGTTTTATAGCATGGTTTGGGCTCAAAATCACTATTGTGCCCTTTACTTTTTGACATTTGGTTCTTTCTTATGTTTGGTTAAATTTAAAGATTTACAATAAATTAATTAAGGAGATTTTAACCCTTTTTACAAATTTTGATTTTAATGAACAATATATTATTATTCTCTCTCTCTTTTAATGGTAGAATAAAACATGGTGCTTTTAACAATCATTAAATGATACATTATGTTCATTATTATTATTGTTTATTAAAGATAGGTTCTCGTGGACGATAATTAGTGGCTAGTCTTGGGAATTTAATCTAACTTTGTGTAAATTAGATTTCGAGAGCAAATAATTATTAAGTCTAACACACAAGTAATAATCAAGAACACCAAATAAATTAATTAAAAAAGTACAATAAAAAATACTAAATTTAAGTGGAAAATTCTCTCTATTGTAGAAGAAAAAAAATTACAGAATTAACTCTAAAATAATCTATTATAATCAAGAAAACAATACAATCATTCAAGCTATAAATTATATTTTTACCTAAATCTATCTCATTGCGAACGAAACTCTATATTTATGCAATTTGAACAATATAATTTTCTATGACTCGTAGTACTCAAAAGAAATCAATTTTAGAGAGAAAAATAATTTTATTAGACTTTTTGTAACCAATTCTAGATGAAGTTATTAAAAAAAAAAGTCAATTACTCATTTAAAATGTTATTAGCCTATTGGTATCCATTTGAAAAGGTAAAAGGAAGGGCTTCAAGCCATTACAAATTAAATATTCAAGCTCAAATAAAACCTAATAAATAAATCATTTGGACATTTGGCCCAAATTCGATCGTCAAATCATGAAATAAAAATTATATATTCATGATAGAAAATTCAAATAATACGGATATAGGCCTTGAGACTATATCAACTAGACATCATGTTTAAAAATAATGAAATTGAGACCAAAATTTAATATATAATTTAAAACCAAAATGAAAAAATACAAAATTAGTAATACCAAAAAAATAAAATAAAACAACGACAATAAAAAAAATAAATTAATTAAAAAAAAAAGCCCTCTAATTGGAATCAAATTGATCTAAGATCCTAAACCTACCTATCTACATTAACTTAGAGTGAAATCACATCAAATAAACCCTAAGTATAAGCAAACCAAACATGTAAGGACCACGAATCTCGCGAAACAACCACAAAATAATACTAATAATAATAATAATAACCAATTGGCCTCCTCAAAGTCCTTAGCCTATTGGTTTCTATTGGTTTACTTTAATTTTCTCGCTATAAAATAAGTGCTAGGCTATTGGTAATTTCATCATTAACCAAAGTTCCTCACTAACCAAATAAAAAATAAAAAAATTATTTAGTGTATATCACTTTTAACTCCAGAAAAATAAAAATAATAGTTATAAAAATTAGAAAAATTTGAAACCTAAAGCTACATACCTCAAATTTCCATCGGATTAAATTTTTAGACATGCCATGATCACACGGATCCAATCTCATAAAATCAAGAATTTCACAATGATTTATTTTCAATCAAGCCCTACTCAATAATGAACTTCGAAGAATCACACAAATTTTATGCAAATTAAATTGAAGGTTGCAACACATAATATTAAATTGAATCCAAACCTCACACGAGGATATAAGTGATCGGTCTATTAAAAATCAAAGAAAAATAGATTTAATTACATCGATTGAAGGATATGAGACCGACTTATAATGACTAACAAGAAGCGAGGGACTAAACTAGATGGAAAACGAGGCCAAATTGATCCGAAGAGGCTTGTGGGCGCGTGATTCATGGGGAGCTGAAACTCACTCGCATGCGTGGTAGATATCCGGTGGTTGAAACAAAGGAGGATCGACGGTGATGGCTTCAGCTCTTCGAGGGGATTTGGGTGGCATGGCGCGTGTCTTTCCCTTCCTCTATTTTGTTTGTTTTTACTTCTTTTTTTGGTTGCCGTCGAGTGTTTTTGGGTTCTTTATGATGAGAAATTTAGAAAATTTTATAATACACAAAGATTAACTAGTAGCATGTACGGTAGTTATTCCTTGGGCTCACTTCGAGGAGAGAGATAGACACACAAAAAGAGAAAGAGCAAAATAGGAGAGAGAAAATAAAAAAATTTGAGCAAAAATGAAAATCTTTTTATCACTTTTAGTGGGTATGGATGTAATTTCTCTTTTTTCTATGTGTCTATCTCTCTCTTCAAATTGGACTCGAAGTAACTACCGTACATGTCATTAGTTATTACTTGTGTATTTTAAAATTTTTCCTTTGTGATTGTGTGTCCTTGTGATGGCTAGGGTTATCCGTATTTATATGAACTCTTGGTGGGTTTAGAGTTTCTTGTTTGGAATTTTTTCTTTGGATTAGGCTTGGACAACCATGCCCAATGCACGACACTTGGGTCAAGCATGTTGCCCAAATCATGCATACGCTGGTCCGAGCCCATTTTCTTTTCTTTTTTCTTTTTAATTAGTTTCTAAAAATTTTTAATCATTAATTTTTTTAACATGGTAGAATTAAAAAAAAAAAAAAACGATCCGTGAGAGCTAGGGTTATTGTACATACCACTAGTTATTCCTTGTGTATTATAAATTTTTCCTTTTGTGATTGTGTGTCCTCGTGAGGGCTAGGGTTATCTGTTTTTATATGCACTCTTGGTGGGTTTAGAGTTTCTTGTTTGGACTTTTTTCTTTGGATTAGGCTTGGACGACCATGCCCAATACACGGCGTTTGGGCCAAACGTGTTGCCCAAATCGTGCCTACGTTGGTCCATGCTTATTTTCTTTTCTTTTTTTTTAATTAGTTTCTAAAAATTTTTAATCATTAATTTTTTTAACATGGTAGAATTTTTTTTTTAAAAAAAACGATCTGTAAGTGGCTAGGGTTACTCGTATATGCCACTAGTTATTCCTTGTGTAATATAAAATTTTTCCTTTGTGATTGTGTGTCCTTGTGAGGGCTAGGGTTATCTCGTATTTATATGCACTCTTGGTGGGTTTAGAGTTTCTTGTTTGGACTTTTTTTCTTTGGATTAGGCTTGGACGACCATGCCCGATGCCCGGCATTTGGGCTAAGTGTGTTGCCCAAATCATGCCTATGCTAGTCCGTGCCTATTTTATTTTCTTTTTTCCGTTTTAATTAGTTTCTAAAAATTTTTAATCATTAAATTTTTTAACATGGTAGAATTTTTTAAAATAAAAACAAGATCGTGAGGGCTAGGGTTACTCGTAAATGCCATTAGTTATTCCTTGTGAATTATAAAAATTTTCCCTTTGTGATTGTGTGTCCTTGTGAGGGCTAGGGTTATCCGTATTTATATGCACTCTTGGTGGGTTTAGAGTTTCTTGTTTGGACTTGTTTTCATTGGATTAGGCTTGGACGACCATGCCTAATGCTCGGCGCTGGGCCAAGCGTGTTGCCCAAATTGTGCCTACCTTGGTCCATGCCTATTTTCTTTTCTTTCTTCTTTTTAATTAGTTTCTAAAAATTTTTAATCATTAATTTTTTTAACATGGTAGAATTTAAAAAAAAAAACGATCAGTGAGGGCTAGGTTACTTGTACATGTCACTAGTTATTCCTTGTGTATTATAAAATTTTTCCTTTGTGATTGTGTGTCCTTGTGAGGGCTAGGGTTATCCGTATTTATATGCACTCTTGGTGGGTTTAGAGTTTCTTGTTTAGACTTTTTTCTTTGGATTAGGCTTGGACGACCATGCCCAATGCACGGCACTTGGGGCAAGCATGTTGCCCAAATTGTGCCTACGTTGATCCATGCCTATTTTCTTTTCTTTTTTCTTTTTAATTAGTTTCTAAAAATTTTTAATCATTAATTTTTTTAACATGGTAGAATTTTTTTAAAAAAAAGTATCGTGAGGGCTAAGGTTATTGTACATGCCACTAGTTATTCCTTATGTATTATAAAATTTTCCTTTTGTGATTGTGTGTCCTCGTGAGGGCTAGGGTTATCTATATTTATATGCACTTTTCGTGAGTTTAGAGTTTCTTGTTTGGACTTTTTTTCTTTGGATTAGGCTTGGACGACCATGCCCAATGCTCGGCGTTTGGGCCAAGCGTGTTGCCCAAATCGTGCCTACGTTGGTCCATGCCTATTTTCTTTTCTTTTCTTTTTTTAATTAGTTTCTAAAAATTTTTAATCATTAATTTTTTTAACATGGTAGAATTTTTTTAAAAAAAAAACGATGCAGTGAGGGCTAGGGTTACTCGTATATGCCATTAGTTATTCTTGATGTAATATAAAATTTTCTCTTTGTGATTGTGTGTCCTTGTGAGGGTCGGGGTTATCTATATTTATATGCACTCTTGGTGGGTTTAGAGTTTCTTACTTAGACTTTTTTTTCTTTGGATTAGGCTTGGATAGCCACGTCCAATGCCTAGCGCTCGGGCTAAGCGTGTTGCCCAAATCGTGCTTACGCTAGTCCACGCCTATTTTCTTTTCTTTTTTTGTTTTAATTAGTTTCTAAAAATTTTTAATCATTAATTTTTTTAACATGGTAGAATTAAAAAAAAAAATACAAGATCTGTGAGGGCTAGGGTTACTCGTACATGCCACTAGTTATTTCTTGTGTATTATAAAAGTTTCCCTTTGTGATTGTGTGTCCTTGTGAGGGCTAGGGTTATCCGTATTTATATGCACTCTTGGTGGGTTTAGAGTTTCTTGTTTGGACTTTTTTTCTTTGGATTAGGCTTGGACGGACATGCTCAATGCTCGGCGCTTAGGCTGAGCGTGTTGCCCAAATCATGCCTATCGTTGGTCTATGCCTATTTTCTTTTCTTTTTTCATTTTAATTAGTTTCTAAAAATTTTTAATCATTAATTTTTTTAACATGGTAGAATTTTAAAAAGAAAAAAACGATGCTAGTTAGGGCTAGGGTTACCTGTACATGCCACTAGTTATTCCTTATGTATTATAAAATTTTTCCTTTGTGATTGTGTGTCCTTGTGAGAGCTAGAGTTATCCGTATTTATATGCACTCTTGGTGGGTTTAGAGTTTCTTGTTTGGACTTTTTTCGTTGGATTAGGCTTGGACAACCATGCCCGATGCCCGGCGCTTTGGGCCAATCGTGTTGCTCAAATCGTGCCTATGCTTGGTCCAGTGCCTATTTTCTTTTCTTTTTTCGTTTTAATTAGTTTCTAAAAAAATTTAATCATTAATTTTTTTAACATGATAGAATTTTTTTTTTAAAAAAAGGTACCGTAAGGTACCGTGATGGCTAGGGTTACTCGTACATGCCACTAGTTATTCCTTATGTATTATAAAATTTTCCCTTTGTGATTATGTGTCCTTGTGAGGGCTAGGGTTATCCGTATTTATATGCACTCTTGGTGGGTTTAGAGTTTCTTGTTTGGACTTTTTTTCGTTGGATTAGGCTTGGACGACTATGCCCAATGCCCGACGCTCAGGCAAGCGTGTTGCCTAAATCGTGCCTATGTTGGTTCGAGCCTATTTTCTTTTCTTTTTTCTTTTTAATTAGTTTCTAAAAATTTTTAATCATTAATTTTTTTAACATGGTAGAATTTTTTTAAAAAAATACCGTTTAGCTATTTTTTTTTTGGTGTAGATTGATAATTTGTTTTTTCCTATGATATCCTATTTGTATAATATAATATGTATGATTATTGCATCATATAATCTGTGTACAATAATGTATTTACTAGCAATATTATTTAAAATAAAAAATATAATAAATTATACGCACCAGTATACCAAAAAAAAAAAAACAATGTAATTTTTATAATTATATATCAATATATCGTAAAATCTACTCTTTCTCACAATAAATTTAAAATTCTAGCTTCTATAGTTCTATTCAAGTCCATATATATCTTGAAGATCAGCCATTAGTGATAAGAAATTTATATATTTTATTATTCAACTTATTTCTTAAACACAATGGGTTGGTAGATGAACTAGTGTTTCAATATTTCTCACTTGTTACACAGCTATATATATAGCTTAAATCAAATAATCAACGTATGCCAATTGTGATTGTGGTGACTAGCTACTAGCTAGACCCTCCCAAAATGGCCTCAGCAAGAATAAAGTTTGAGCATTCACACGCACCGATCGGAACTTGGCAACTGCAAATTAGACATTGCCCAGAAGCACCCACGCAGTCGTTGTCACTTCGGCAACTTCCTACTTTTCTAGCTTCACTTGCGGACAATATGCCTGCAATTAATTAAGGCTCTGTTATTACTTCTAATAAACCCCAAGAATTTGCCATATTAAATAAATAATATGAGTGCAACCAATCTATCAAAATGCACCCATAAAAATTCAAATTTTGAGTCCGAAAACAAACAGTGAAAATTATACACAGAAAGAAAAGATAAGAAAGAATGCAATGAAATTGAAATAAGTAAGTTGTTTTTTTTTTTTGGGGACCCAGTTGATAATCGAATAGTTTGAGGATAAATATGTTATTGTACCATTTCAAGGTAATGGATTAGCCGGTAAATTAATAGTCAGGTCCATTAACTTTTACAAATTGGTTAAATTAACCCCTAATTACAACATTGGGTAATATCAACCCTCAAATATCTAATTGTAGTCACACGTGGTCATGTGCATACGCACTTGAATATGCGCATGGTGCAAACGGATAAGAACACGAATTGCATGAGAAACCAGATTTGACCATGTATTGACACGTGCAGGGAGTGAAAGAAAAAAAAAATTGGAACATTATGAAAAATGCTATGAATTGGAACCTATATGAACCCATTGAAATATTATATCTACGACAAAGTATGTTGAACTCCGCCTGATGGCTAATGAAATTTTCTTTGGGTACCGCTTGGCCAACATTATATAAGTGAGAGGATAATAATGTGGTTTTCAAATTTAGATATAGGGAAAGAGAACACAATTACATACGAATATTAATTAATAATAATGTCATTTTCAAATTTACCCCCTACGAAAAGATAACACAATTACACACTGAGATTAATTACTAATTTTGTTGTTTTCAAATTTAGCTATTAGGAAAAGATAACACAATTATTACACAATAAGATTAATTAAAAATAATGTCATTTTCAAATTTAACTAATGGGGAAAGATAATACAATTACACTTGCGGGCGTGTGTCTGCAAGTGCATGGGTGTGTGTCTGCAAGTGCATCCACGTGTGTGAAGAACTATTATGGTTTATCCTTTAACTTTTACAAATTGGTTTTTTCCATGAGCAAGTCATTGAAGGCAATAATTCTTTTTCATTCTTTTTTTTTTAATAATTTTAGATCTAGTGGTTATTCTACTGGATCTAATATTTTTTGTTTTTGTTTATCTTTTTCTTAGTTTAAGGCTTGTTCTTGTTTTTTTTTTTTCCTCTTGTTTTATTGTGATTTTATGCCTTTATATAGGTCTTAATACTACAATGAAAATTTTACACATATTGTTCCTAGCACATAAAAAAGAACATGATAAAATATTAAAAATTACATAATAAATAAATAAATCCATGGTAAATTAAAATGGATAAAAAATTAGAACTTTTTATCTTAACCATTAGGAAAATTAGAAAGATAAAAATCATATTATCATAGTTTCATGTTATCAAGATGATTGAACCATCAAAATCATTATAATTGAATAAGTTGAAGATGATTAGGCTGAGATACAAACCAGGTTATTTTTTGTTAAAAACATTACGCATCGTTTACGGAATTTATTTGATGTAATAGATCAATCATATATTACATATCATCTAAAAGATACAATAGCCTAACCATTTTTTTTGTACCTTAATAAGCCTGCGCCGCTTATAAAGTAAGAAGAAGCTCTCATATGATACCCTCAATTTATCCAAACAAGTATGAAAATAAAATACCATTGATAGTATACTTTTATAGTATAAACAGTAGACTTTATTGTATAACTAACAACACAATCAAAAATTAATTTTTATAAAATCATATGGAATATATTTCCGAGATACAATATCATGTTATTTTATATTTAGGCTAAACAAACGGTTACAAGCACATTTTATTATCATTATTGTTGGTCATCATGGCATGCAATTAAAATAATAAGCGTAATTATTTATTTTCAAGGCATTTCTAAAGGTTATTGGTAATAAAAACCTTAACTCTTAGTTTCTCAATTAAAATTACAATAATAATGTTTAATATTCTTTGACCAAAACTACCGTTGTTACTAATAGCACATATTAAATTATTTTTTTTATATAAATTCATATTTATTATGTTATAAAAATCTTACATAACCGTTTTTTTTAAAGGGTATAATAGCGAGATTAATGCTTTTTTATCAAAATTAATTTCTATAATAAATATTATTTATTTATCAAAATAATCCAACAATCCCTAACTTATTTTATAAAAAATAATTTTAGTATACTATTTGGATAAAAATAGGATGTTATGTATGATGAGAAGGCCAACGACTTGAACTCCCACTTTGTATTTCAACAAGCTTGCTCTAGAGTCACAAGTGAATATTGTCTTGAAGTCTCATTTAGGTTACAATTAAGCAAAGCATCACACACATAACACTCAAGTATTTTGCAACGAGTTTTAAAGTCAACAGATAACGATTTTGTACAGGATCTTGACTTCTATGATGGTTTTAGAGATCTAGCCATATTCTCATTAAAAACGGTCAAACTTCCTCACTTATATAGGCAAGTCTAAAATGCTTTTGTAATTCTATATCATATTCATTAAGAGTTTTGATCTCATTACGAGTTTTTTTTATATATATATAAAAAATCAAATTCTTAATTGATTACAAGATACATGCACCACACCATAGATATGGACATATGAATATAGTAATTTAAATAAATTATACGTGTAATCAAAACACTATATACTTTTTTTCTCTTTGAACCTCATTGTTAGGATATCTAGTTGCTAGGTAGAGTATTTAGATAGGTAATTTTATTCCACTATGGGCTTAGCTTTGACACAATCCTTTGAATTTATCTAAATATTTTATCTCTTAATGTTCAATATATATACCCAAAGGATTAACAAGTACTTCATCGATTCATTAGTGCTAAGACAAATTGTTAAAAAAAAAAAAATTATGTTTTCTTTTCATTATAAATAGCATAATTTCCACTTACTTCTTCATTGGCCTAGGCTATTAGCTAATTTAACTTTCACACACATATATGAGCCAATGGTAAACATAACAATAAATTTATTTTTTACCTCATCATCATCATCATTATATTAAAGCATGATGGCATCATTGTGTTTATTTTAAATACAATGGAAAACTTTTAAGTCTAATCACTCGAAGTGAATATGGATATTTTTCAATCTCTAGTTTCTCATATAAATTTGACATAATTAAATCTCATATACGTAATAGGAATGTCAATATTTTACTAGAGATTTAAATTTCTCAAGTTATCACTAATTATTTTATTAGACAATATCATCAAAACACCGAGTATACCTTAATTGTACAATAGAAGTTAATAACCTCATCAATTCTCTCATTGTTATATTTTTAAAATATTTTTATAAGCATCATTATATCTTTGTACGTATAGTATGAATGCTTTCACAAATATCTCCAATAACATCAAATTAAAATTGCATAAAATATCTACAAATCTATATATATAAATAGCACCATAAGAGAATTATGATGATTTATCTTCAATTACGTAATATTTTTTTCAAACAAAAAATTTAATGCAATAACATCTTTTATGCCCCCACCATTCACATAATAAATTTCATTTCTTCTCCATTAGAAACAAGATATTTTATGTCTCTTTAAACTTCATTCACACAATATTTCTATGCATTTATATTATAATATATTTATTATATCTTTATCTAGAATTTATTAATTCTTGAATCAAAATTTCAAATTAAAGTGTCATTGACTAAAGAACATTATTTATTCATTAGAAGTAAATCTCAAATATATTAGTTACTGATAAAAGAAATATAATCATTTTTCTTTGACATTTACTTAACCTTTTATACTTACCATATTATGTGTACTACTCGAGACTTAAGACTTTTTAAATGCACTTCAAGATGGCTCATCAATAACGAGAATTTCAATGCTCCTCACTTGCAACCATTGACAATTAGAGTTTATCCTCTAATAAAATAAATTTACCATTTTATGTTGGCAAAGTCGTGGACTAAAACATGCAAAGCATACTTAAGAGGAATTAAAACATAACAAGTAATCCTTTTTCTACCATGTAAACCCAAAATTTATCTTTTTTATTTTATTTTATTCTATTCATTTTATTTTTATTCATGCATGTCTTGTTTCAATTGAAGTTTACTACAAAAAAAAATGAAAATGAAAAAATGGAAAAATGATGAAAAACATAAAAACATTCATTCAAGGGCATAATTGTATTTCAAGGAATTTATAATTGAGATAATTAAGGATATAATCGAACTAATT